GGCTCATCCAACCATAATCCTGCTCTCAACTGTGCCAATCTGACCATGTGCAGTCAAAATGCTCCATGGAGTTAATCCCAAAACATTCAATTCAGTAATCAGTTCCGATACAGTAACACTTTGCTGCACTACTGAGAAGATCTTAAAAAATTATATTTCTTAATTTACAAATGTTTATGGAGTCCTCGTCTAAATCAATGCCTTCCAAACAAACAAAATCATTGGGAACTTGAGAGAAATTCCGTTTAGATAATATATTGGAAAAGCAGAATTCAGGTTCCTTACTGCAGTAAGTAACAGATAAGTATTTTTATAGCTGACACTATATTAGTATAAATATTTATGAGTATTGTATCTAAGAGTATAAGCTGTAAATGGTGAGTGATTTTAAAGTTGGCATGTGAACAAAACAATTATTTCTTCGCAAACAGATGAAAAAAATCAAACTAGAAACAACTGTATCAATTCACCGAAGACTAAACTTTCTTTTCTTTTCTGTTAACAAGGCTTTCTTATCTAAAAGTAACTTGGGCAGGAAACATGAAGACATGTAAAATTCCCTAGGGGTGCATATAAACCTTTGAATCAGAAGTTATATTCAGCCAAGGGAAAACGTTGGCTAATGTAAACCCCTACAGATACATTTCAACGCTGCTGCTGAAGTCTTCGAAACGGGAAGAAAGCTATTTCTAGCCAATATGCCAATCAGTACGTTAATGGGAAGATTTAACAGCAACAAGACACAAAACATGTTTCAGATGACTGATCAGGAAAACCTACAAGTACTTCCAATCTTCTGCTGGTATTGGTGCACACACTAATTTCAACAGGTTAAAAGAGGAACACATCCTGCAAGCAGAAAGTGGAGAGAAGTTATGATGTAACTTCAGTATAGCGTCAAATATATCTCAAGTATATATACCCCCCAGCAGCGATATCTTGCAAGTCATTCTGCACTTCTTAGAACAAGATCTGTAAGAGTTAATTATCTGTGATAAGTACTAAACCTCTCTCCTCTCCAAAGATGAAGGGCTCAAACATCTTCCAGCAGAATCAGTGGAAGAATTTCTACAAGTGATGAAAGATTTGGCACAAACTTGAAAACCCTGAGTTGTAGAAATACTTCTGTTGCCTCAAAGAGCTACATGAAAACCAAGAAATTACTTTTAAAGATTTTTGAAGAGAATTATTTTAATTTATTTTAAAGATTTAATTTAAGAGACCTTAAATTAAGTCCCCTAGTTAACTGGTTCCAAATAATACCCAACCCAAATAACACACAACACAAATACAAGTGTAAACCATCACTGAAAACAGTCAGAAACATTATTCAATCCAAAATTATTTAAAAACATGTCATGGTTTTACAATTTGATTTGAAGTATAAATTTCAGGGGTTTAATAATCTTTGTTCGTTGCTAGTCAATGTAATATACATCAACACATATAATAACCTCTGCTGTCAAAAGTGGAAAATAGGTATTTCGTGCTCACTTCTTCAGTGAGTAAATCTCAAGAACACACCGATACAACAATGGCTGCGAGGATCAGCTATACTTGATGAGACAACTAACACATACTTGCTTAAATACGTTCCTGCTGCCAAAAGAAGCAGGTAGGTTATCAACAGTTGCTAACCATACTAGTTATTGTCTTCATTTTAGAGCTGAAGTACTGTAAAATATTTATGGGACACCATATTTTGCAGTATAAATACCATTCTGCTACCAATGTTGTTAGAGGAAGAAGCAAAGATAAAATTAAAGATCTATATGGTATGACAACAGTTACAAAAATAGGGTAAGATGCAAAAAGCTGTTAATAAGGCCCCTTCCATGAAACAGCTCTTTTTTTTTCCCCCTTTTTTAATATCTATATTTGTCATAAACATGTTCTGGTCATCAAGTCTACATAGTTGTAGTAGTGCCACTACTAGTGCCACTAGTGTAGCGTTTTCTTTATGAGGAAGGGTATCATTACACACATTTATCTCAGGAAGTGTGACTGTGCTTTTCTAATTGTTTCTAACAATCTGAAAATCTGAACTTTTAATGCAGTTGAACTTTCAATGTAACTTATTTGTTAAACTTCCAAACTTTCACAAGACAGTTTCTCTCTTCTTTGTTCTGGACAGCAAGGAATAGAAGGTAAAACAGAAAACACTTGTATTTTATCACTAAAAGCTGTATTACCTCCAAATATGCAAGCTAGAACTTTTTCACTACTTTTTCTCCAGATGTCCCCTTTTCTGCAATCACACCATTAGATTAACTATAAGTCACAGAAAGGAATTTTTTCAAGAATCAAGGAAAATAAGTATACTCTAAGTTCAGTTTTAAAAAGGCTGAGCGACCTAGGCAAAATAAGCCTCTTTCTTGCTTTTGAAAACTTCAGGCTTTTTGTTTTAATACTCTCTAATATACATATAAGCCTACAACGATTCATAAATATGGCTTCTGACTCTTTGGAAAACCTACTCTGAGTAGTCTCAAACTAACTTAAATACCTACACTCGAGACTAAAACAGAAGATTACATGTCACAGCCTCTCTGAATTTCTTGCTCCACGATGCCCCCTACTGCAAATCTGCAGAACAAACGCAGAGCAAGCATTTCCAAATGCAACCTTGCAAGAAAATGACTACACCCTGAGAATCATCCTGCATGCATAAATAACGTATTTCAGTTTAGTGGTAGAAAAGAAAATTTTAAGAAGTATGAAAGGAATTTTTAAAGCCATTTCATAAATGTTATTGAGTGTCATGGTAATCACATGGAACAGAAAATAGCCTCTCCATTTAAAATAAAGTCAAATGACAGAATCCTCATCATCTTTGCTCCAGATATTCTACTGACTCTAATCAATAAAGTACATCTTTTGTAAAATAGATTTCTCTGATGTAATGTTAGACCTTTTTATTTTTACAGAGCTCTCCCATAATGGGAAATACAGCAGATAAGTAGCTTTCACTAAAAGAAATAGCAAATGTCTTTCGTTATAGCCACACGAAGTTTTAATGAAACGCTTCTGTAACACAGAAATAACGACCTTGGAGTACCATATTCCCATTAAATCTCATTCACCACATATATAAACTGATACCACAGGATTTCTTGCAAGAACTTTAGGACTGGAATGAAAAGAACCAAGCTTAGCAGTAACCTGCTTTATTAAAACAATTTCTTTAGAGAAAAAACTGACATTGTCACTATGAAAATCTAATCTCAATTGGGAGTACTAAACCAAACAATCAACAATGAAAATTAATCAATTACCACCAAGCTATTCTAGCTCACATTTCTACCCATATTTTTCTGTTTCTACTTTCATAATATTTAGACCATTTATCTTTGAAAGAAAGACAATTCTTTGAATGGATTTGTCCCACTACTAGTTGTGCTGTACAGTAAAAAAATCACACCTATAACTTAGGCTGTAATACTACTGATGCATGGGTGGTCTTTTATGCTCATGTGAACACACTACTTCACAAGTGTACCTTGAAGCTTGTTTGGGACTTATAGAGTATGTATTTTACTGGAACATTTTAATTAAAGAAATATTCTTTTGACCATAATGAAAAAAAAAAGCAACGAAAACTTATTTAGGAGCGGTGACAAGTGAAGCAAATGTTTGCATGATTCTATCACAATTTTTATTAAATAAAAAAGAAATACTCTAGCAGTTAGAGATGAAAACTAGCTCAAGTCCCAAGTGACAGAGCTCCAGATCCCTGCTCCAGACTTCTGAAGTGCCTTGACAGGTCAGACCTCACGCTTGACAACTGGGATAACCATACATCCATACTTGGCAGGACTGTTGTGATAACTATAGCGTAAGGATGTGATCCTTCATCAAACATTGTAATGAACACCACTGATAATGCAAGTTTAAATGCGAGTTTAAAAGCTCACTACTATGGTAGAATGATAGAAAGAACATTTCTTGAAAAAAATTATATGCTTATTAGATAATCTCTAACAAAGCTGTGACAGTCCACAGTAGAAATGTAATATACCTCAACATTTACTTAAAAGGCAGATTGTCGATGTACAGGGCAAGCCCAATCGTTTGGATGCATCTATTTCACAGTTTTCTAACCTATTTGCATCGTTAGTATGCAAAAATGTGTGCAAAGTGGTGTTGTCTTCCCAAATTAAACAGCTCCAGCCACTCAGATTCACGGCCTCTAACACTTTAGGATGCTCATGGCAGTTATTGGAACTTTAACCACAATTACAAACCAGTTCCTACAAACACTCTTTAAAGTCAATGGGAAACTGAAGAACTCCACAACTGTAAAAGTGACAATGTAAAGCATTCTTCTGTAGCTGGTCCTGCCGGTGAATAAACTTCATTGCTATAAAAAAAAGGACTAAGCTAAGACTACACAGGAGATACCTTACTCTTTCCGAAGCTTCATTTTTATTATTCTGCACTCTTCAAAAAAGAAGGAAGACAGAGGGAATATTATCCTTCCTAAACTGAGAGTCCAGCTGATCGATTGTCATTGTTAGTGCTGCAACATCAGCTTTGACTCATGAAGAATACTCTAGGAACTGGTAACAGTGAAGTCCCAAAACTTTATGTCCTTCACTATATCAGAAATTTGCCCCAATTCCAGTGTGCCTCGCATGTGAAAAACAAATGGTCTGAATTATTCAAAGTTCTTGCCATCAGAGCTAATGTGTTAGTTAATCATGTCATAGCTCTGGTTACACTCAGGAGAGGTGAGTGGCTCGTCATCAAATACCGGAAAACAAGTCCTAAGTCATAAAAGGGAAACTCACTACAAGAGATCTGAATGTCTGCAACAGTTTCTTATTCTTTTGCTACCAAGAAATGGTTCTAGGTAGCCTTGATATCAAGATTTTTACTGAAAATCATGTAACTAAGCACGCATAATAAACTGTAGTTTGGCATGAAAAGATTTCAGTGACTTTTATGACTTTAAGTGGCTGTTACTGTCACTAGTTTTTATGACTAGCTTAAATACCTACCTACTAATTCCTTCACGGATATCATTCACAGCTGCCAACAGTTTCTGCAGACCTAAAAAAGCTTCTTCAAACGAAGACTTTGCAGTCAAAGTTACTGCGTTGGGGTCCAACTTTTGGAAAATTTCAATACTAACATTAAAAAGAAAGAAGAGACATTGAAAAGCAGTTAATAAAAATCCTCAAAATTCAGAGAAACCCAGTATCTATTGTATGCATTGTCAAATGTGTATCTATACTAAAACCATGTTATCTAAAACAGTCTTAGAATAAATAGTAGAAAGACCACACCCTACAATTGTACTTCTCTGTTTAAAATTTTCCTCGGCGACTATATTTTGTAACAGTATTTTACCTTTGACTTAAATAGATTTATCATCAAACTTCACTTGAGAATGAAACAGTCTCTTCAGGCACAACTTGAGCACACCTGAGTAAGCCTCTCTTAGAAGAGAACTGTTAGGTTAACGAAGCAAGATGAAGTGCTTTCCATCAATTTTCCAAGCAGCTTCATTCTCCAGATTTATTGGAATGGGCTTGACACCTTCCCTGCAATGGTTGCATTGGGACGATGAGCTGCAGTGCACTCATGAAAAATTATCCCCACAGGTGCGAGATAAGTAGTATTTTCTTGACATGAGCAAGAAGAGTGCGAAGTGACCTTTGATTCTAAAATTTTGTCCTCTTTTCACAGCATGGTCCTTAACAGGTGGCAAGAGCCAACAGTTCAGTTGTGTTTTCATTTTCAAGCGATACTTGAAAGAGTTTTTCCTTGATGCCTATATGAAACCTTCAAATTCATGATTACTATCCCAGTAAGAGAACTGTGAAGTAGGAGACTGTTCTCTGGCGCAGATCCTCAGCTGACCTCAACACCACACCAAGCCATCTCCTAACCAGCTTCAATTCAGATTAATTTGCACTGGTGTAAGCCCAGAGGACTTACACTGGTGCAGGTCTATAGTGCATTCAAATGCTAGCGTGGAAATGGCATTGGTAGAGTTATTATCACTGTTTACTAGGTGAGTCCTTAACAGACCACCAAAAATGGTGATCCTCTGTGCTTGATGTAACTCAGTGTCCCTCCTTTGAAAAGATTTCAGATTAAGACTACAAAAAGAAAACACAGTATCTATTCAGATTTTGTGACAGCATCCAAAACATGGCATCTCTCAATGATTTTCAAGCAGATTTTTCAACAATAACCAAAATACTAACAATGGTAAAACATCTAGACGGAGGGGGGTTTAGTTTCATGCAATTCTGAGTTTAGATGAGAACAGAAATTCATCACTAGATTCTTCATTTGGATTTTATAGAGTGAAGGATTTTGCTTAACAGGAAAACTTATATTTCAAATTGATTAAAGTTTAAAAAAAAGTAAACAATTTTGCATAGGCTAGTATACCTCCGCAGGATTTGGAAAGAAAATAACCACGACAAAACTTAGAGCTTGAATGCCTCTTTTTTTATGGATAAAGATGAGATTTCCATGGATGTCTCACATTTGGGGCTCTTACAGGGTTTTCAAAACCATTCTCTAAGGCCATTTATTTCAGCCACTGTCCAGAAAAAGAGCTAGACAGATCACTGACTCCATCCACATAACAATTTGTATGCTCCTAACTTCTTTGTGTGACAAGTTGTGTGATTTTTTTTTGCCAATTTTGATTAATTACTAATAGCTTCTTCTCTAAAATAGGGGAAAAAAATGCAATTTCTAAAGTGTGTTTGTTTGAAAATTATGTAAGATTATGTAGAGGTTCTGAATTTCTTTAGCATACTGTACCTGTACAAGTTTATTGTATTCCATACACCTTCAAGGACTGACCAGATTTCCTGGTGCCTGTTTTCTTGAGCTACATGAAAGCTTGGATGTAACTTTTTTTCTTCACAGTTTTGAAGATTTGGTGTCATTGCTTCCATTTTTTCACATACAGCATTTTCTGAAAGAACCATGATGTCTTCTGACAAATCCTGCTCACTGTCCGACCTCACCTTGTAAAACAGTTTAGCAAACAAATAATGAGTGTATTTGGTTCCGAACTTAAGAAAACTTGAACGCTTTTTTTTTTCTTTTAAAGCAATGCTCAAAAAAGCAAGGCAGATCTCTTCTAGTCATAACCATCTCTATTATAGTCTCTGCATCCAAAGCACCTCTCAGTCCTTCACCAAGTCTTTCTTCTATATGTATATATTGGTATTTCTACAGATAGGAAATGGAAGCACAGGGAAACCCTGTGCCCAAGCTTCCCAGGCATAGTAAGCTGGTATAAATGAGAACTGCTTCTTACTCTTACACCCTATCCCATGACTGATGGCACATTTTCCTCTGCAACAGCACAAAGTATTCATCTACTCATTTGGTAAACTGGTTCAGAAAATTTGTCCAGGTTAAATTGAAACTGATCTGGCACAACATAGTCTGTATAAGGGCAGTTCTTTGTGAAGTCAAACACCTGTCAGGACAAGGACAGCACGAAACAAGTTTTCAGACAGAAAGCCTGCTTCTTATGGCAGCACCGTTCACAGAACTGCGGACTAAAGCAGCTGACTGCAATGCACACAGAAGTTACAGCACAGTAGACAATCAAGACTCCCCAGATCATCCTTCCTCTCCTTGACCACCGTCTTCTTCCTTTACCCTTCAGCTTTCTCCAAAACTGCAAAGAACTTTTTACACACTCTGACCTGTATTCTTTCCCATATATAGAAATATTTCAAGTCATCCATGCTCATTATTCTGTTTTTTATGCCATTACATATGGAACTAACAGTAACCACAAACCAAGACACTGAAATTTCTTCCACAGCAACTCAGAGATGAGCTGGAGGTAAAGACATACTTCTCAGAACACAAAAGGTATCAGGACACCCCCCATTAACTATCACAAAGCACATGATACAAGCGAGTCCCTTCTTCATGTGTAGCACCAGAGCTACCAAGACAATGAAAGCTGAAATAACACACCTAGGAATAGTAGTGTTGGATCAATGTCAGAAGTAGAAACGACAATTTAAATTTTAATTTAGTCTTTAAGGCCCTTTTCCATCAGCTACAAATACAATAGAAAACTAAGACATTTTTCCTCAAAGCAGATAAATAATGTTTTTCAGTCACCCTCCCAGTACTAACACATTTATATTAGGGGGAAAAAAAAGTCTACCAAGCATATATATAAAGGCAGATATTTGCTACATGGAAATAAAAGTTAAATTTGAGGTCTATTAATTTTTAAAACAACATTTCTAGCAACATTTCCTGCAATAATTTGTTGAAATTATGGGAATAATTTAGAAATCTAAGCCAGGTTTATAATATAAACATGGAGCAACTTCAAGAAGATGTTAGGTGAACAAATACTAAAGCTCCCCTTACCTCTATAAATGTTTGGTATAGCTTACTCACTTCAGCATAAGCCTGGGGAAGTACACCATTATAGTCTGACCTTGAACTGAAAGCATGGAGTAATTTTTTGGATTCCTGGAGCAAGATACCCACTGTTGAGGAGTCAACTGTTTTACCTGATATTTAGACAGTAATATGGGAAATAGAAAAAAAAAAAAGTCTTAGGAGTTATCAATCCTAGGAGGCAAATTTAATACTCAAATATCTGGATTAACTGAAGCACATAAAAAGCCTTGAAAATGGTTCAGAAACATTACATAAAACAGTCTCAAGAGAAACGTGTGCGAGGTTAAGATTTCTCACTTCTTAATCAAGTCTTCCAAATTTATCCCAGGATCTGGCAAGAGGATCAACTAGCATATCTAAAATAATTCTGCAGAACAGCAATATCCCAAAAGAGGTATATCTGTTAAAATCAAATTCTTAAAGACATCTTTAAATAAATGAAAGGGGTTTAGTTTGGGGGTTTTTGTTGGCTTTTTTTGAAAACAAACCTCCCTGCCCTCTTCTATCACATTAAGTAGTCTTTACTCCTCCATAATTTATTTGACAAATGCAGATTATTTGGCCACACATAACATTGTGGCAAAGGAGGGAGAAAGATTATTTGCTTTTTAAAAATAGTTCAGAGACTTTGGTGACCATTAATATATATATATATTCATTAAAATGTTTTTCCCCTCATTTTTGCAGGTAGAGATGTGTGAAATAAATTCTTACATGCCTGACAGTGTCCATACATTTGCTTTTACTGTCTTTGTATAAAAACTAGAAAAAAGTCAGCAGAATACTGAATTACCACCACCCCCCCCAAACAAACAAACAAACAAACAAAACCCAAAACCCCCAACCATTTTGGAAATAATTTTCATGATTTTTGCAGGTGATATTTAGACCACCTGGGACCAGAGCCTGGACAGACTTGATCTTGGCACAAGCTTTCTTTTTTTCTTTCTTTTCTTTTTTTTTGTTAACGTAATTCATAGCTCATCAATTTCAGTTCAATTCTACAAGAACAGTGTTGGGATTTTGTCACCCATCTGGGGAATAAACTGTGGATCAATACAAAAGTAGATAAGACTGTCCAAGGTATGGCTCCATTTGGATAACCTTAAATTGAAAAAAAAGCAGAAGAGGATGGAACACATTACTATTTAAACATACTGAGTACATGCCTTTTCAAAGTGTCTACTTCTGTAACTACTAAAACCAGAACAGTGAGGTTTTTTAGAAGTTTACGATTAACATTCTCAGAGATTCTTACCTGTACAAAGGTGTTTATAGAGACATTCAATGGTTGAAAGTAAACTCCTTGGCACAACATAACCAAACACAGCCATCCAGTGTTTTTTATAACACTTCAGCAAGTTTGCTAATGTCCATGGTGGCTTCAGATACAGTATCTGAAATATAATGTGTTATAAATTCAAAGGCTGATTTTCACATAGACATATTGCTATACGTTTCACAACTGCTCTATTCTTCAATAATGTTATGATTTGTGCTTGCTGAAGTAGAATTCCAATGATTCCTCAGAAATAAGGCTATATTCAGATTTAACAAGTTTATCTATTAAAAGAGATTTGATTCAGCAGCATCATGGGTTAAACAGTGATGCTCATGTAGAAGCATTCGATGTACCATCATTTTCATGATTTTTGGTTCCCCTTTCCTCAAACGCTCTAAATACTCTTGAGTTATCTCTTAAAGTGATTTAATGCATTCTTGTGTACAAAAGCCAGAACAACACTAAATATGCCTTTGATTTTCTAGTACTGTTAAAAACATAAAAATAAACACAATTTTCCTAGCTGTGACTATATATACAAGAAGCAATATATGCATATGGCAATAAAATTGAAATTTATTACTACCAAGTGAAACCAGAGTTTGAAAAGATGTTAACAGAAATCAACTAAGTTAATCAGAAGCGCCCAAAAGCTTAATAGCTAATCAAAGCTCTATCTTGTGGAACAACAGTCATTCCATGCAAATGATTTTTTTTTTGAAAGCCATAGAGGCTTATCTGCAATAGGTGTAAACTTCTAACTAAACCCTACCAGCTATAAAATGGAATCTAAACCAAAGCATGGATAATTTGAAAGTGCCTTGTACACAAGTATTTATTTTCTTAACAATATTTTATTATTGTTATTAACATAATAATAAAATTGTAAATTTTATTATTATTTTATTAACAATACTTTTGAAAGAGTGAGTGTTTGGAGGTTCTTGTTAACGCCCCTGTAATTCTGCATCTGCATTGTAACCAATTTAGCTGTGAACAATTTTATCCACATGGTATCTAAAAACATCTGTTTTGATGGGGAAGAAGTGCCTGCAACAACCGTGCCTCAATATTATATAAAACGTGATGGAATAATTTCTTGAAGGACATTTACAATGCAGTGATTTAACCATACTACAAAAGCCGAAGTAGAAATTTAATGCAACTAATAAAAAGAGTTCTGAAAATTCACACTGAACAGCCAGCATCTCTGTTACCATATTATTAAAAAACTGTTAAAATACTGCACAGTCATTACTGGTCAAATAGAATAAACTTGTTATAAGATGAAATAGTAAAACTGAACACTGAAAAACAGTAAAACTGTTCACTGTTAGTGAACTGTTACATTAGTGAACTAGATGACTTAGCTGTTTGGCTTAGCAAAGGTACTAATATCATTAAAATACCAAGGACATTTAAACCTCTTAATACTTGAAATATCAAGCAAGATGACATAAGAAACCACCTCCATCCATAGGTTTCCGAATGCAATTTTCATTTCAGTCTCCAAAATACAAGATAAAGCTTCTCCTAAGTTCTTTTCAAGGCCTGGAAGTATATTTGGGAATTGCGCAGTAAGACTAGCATCACCTCTTTCCGTTTCCTCGAATTCTGTATCTGTCAAACCAATGATAATAAAAGGTACTTATTGCAACTGTTTCTATATCTAATTTATGTTGATAGTACACAAATAACTTGTCCCCATAAAGACAGACTGCACTTTATGTTACAAAGCAGATGGGCTACATCTAATGAGGTTTCAAGAATTTCTAGTTATACCCACTTGTACTGTGGGTATTTTTAATTATAAGCTACTAACCAAGAGGATTCATTTCCTCAGAGCATTATTCATTTGTGATCTTACTCCACATTTCTTTTTTCCTTAAATAACTTAGATCATATACAGCCAGTGGGGTTATCAGCAATTATAAGAAGATCACTTCTTAATATTGTAAGCTGTATTTGTATCTTTGGAAAAACGAACAGGCAACTCAAGAATCAAACTCTACTGTTTGGGATGCAGGTAAAGGTATTAGCATAAAATGTAAGGATTGATCTTAGCATACTGAATTTTACAACTACTAAGAATAGGACCCAAACTGGCTTAACTGGAAAAACCTCTTCTCAATCCTAAAAAGTTCAGGACACCTTTTAAATGACTATAAACACAGGAAATTCATGCTGTGTTTTTTTCTATAAAACAAAAATACATCACATTTGAATTTCCTAGAACTCTGAGAAACAGATGTTTTAATAAAGGTCTCAAACTTTCAGAAAACCATCTACCTTTGAAAACAAAAGATCTGCTCCAAACAAAAAGCATTCCTAAGGATTCGAAGTATATGAAAACTGAAGTTATAGTAGAAACTATTCTCCCTCTCCTACACTGCTTATTACATGTCTCAAACACCAGCATATGTATACATGCACATTAAACAAGCTTACCACATTTTGACTGTTGCGGCTCAACGCAGTTCTGGTGCCTGTTTACATTCAGATTCTGTAGAGCAGTAACCAAATCAGCTTTGCAGAATGCCTTGACCTCACTCACAATGGCTTTACTACATAAATTTTTATCATCCCTAGAAGAGGAGAATTAATTGTTGACATAAAACTCACATTACTAGTCATAGTAAGTAATAAAAGCAACACACTGAAAAAACTGTCTTCTGTAAGCTTATTTTGCGAGCTTCATTATATACAAAGTTTTCTTTCTCAAGCAATTAGAATCAGTTCGAAAAATTAAACCAGAAAATTAACTAAAGCATCTATTCTGAAAAAATTAGAAACATACTGAAAAATGTTTCAGGCTCTAGGTTTGCTTTAAGAAAAAAACAGCTATAAATACTACAGCAATGATGCCTAGTTATTATGATCTTAGGATGCAAACAAGGCAATAATTTTTAAGACAGTAATATCTTATTAGATTGCTACAATAAATTCTCATTTTTGACACCCTTTTTTACGGTTCTACTGGTCAAATCATTGTCCCAGATGCCGCCCTGAGGTATACACTGCTCCAGCAGAACGACTATAAAGATGCAGTACAAAGTTGGATCCTAGTACTTTCTCAAAAATTCCCATTGCTTATATTGATAAAGGATAAAGGGATTTTCAGATGAAAAGTGCTTCTGAAGTCACCTCTTGTTCTTTACTCAGAGAAACCTAAAATCGTTATCAATAGTCCTACCAATACTGCCACTGAAATAGTTATTTTCAGCAGCAACCCAATCCACACATGTCAACTTAAACAAACCAACTGATGCCTAGTGCCTTAACCCCACTTACTGAAACTATGCAGGAAATGGTTCTAGCAAAGACCAAAGCAAGCTGTTTACAGTACCTGCCAAGGAGTATTAGCCCTTTAAAAACTAGCTTCATGTGACTTGTATGAAATTGAGAGTCAATACTCAGAAGTTAGCTGTTCTCCTCACAAAACAAGAACAGAGGCAAACCCACCTCCATCTTCCCCCTTTCTAAGGTTAACCCTCAATGCCTATCATCATCCCCAAACGAGAGGCAAATCTAACTCCATCTTCCCTCTAAGATTAAACCCTGACAATGTTTTTCACTGTTCCCGAGCAGGTGAGCAGAAACAAAGTATCTAACTGGATCTCAATCATTAATACAAATTGTTTTTCTATTTTGTAACTCCAGTAATATTTTTTATGAGAAATCAGAATAAAATCTGATAAATCTATGCTTTAAAAAGTTTTAAAATTTAATATTGAGTAAACTTAATTCTACTTCAGGCCTCAAGCACATGAAGGTAATTAAGTCTACAATCTTTGTATTTTATTATATCCTTCTACTCTAGCTTTTAGGAGGGTGATTGCTCTTCAAAAAGCTTACTTCAGAAACAGCTCTTCATTTGAAGATATGATTTGAAAATAGTGTATTTGGCTTGAGACTAGCTTACACCTCATAAGAGACCTAAAACCACGCAGGAACTCACGTGCAGAGTATTACAACAGCTTGAGGAAAGAGGTTCTGATACTGCAGACAACATTGTAAAACACGATCATCATTGTTCTCGTCACTCAGGCCATCTGCAAATTTAGTTAAGACAGTGCTGACGTGTTCAGAAGTAACTCAACGTAAGAAATACTTCAGTGTAGTCACGGTACTGTTTTTAAATTTAATACTTCCCAAACAAGGACAGAGAAGAGTAATCTAAACACAAATCTGAGCTTTGAATTCTTAGGTACAACTCCACTCAAAAATGCTATGGTTTTGCCAGAAAACATCAAGTGAACCACACGTAAATTTGAGTATGTTAGATTTTGTGACGACCGAGTCAAAAGCAAAAGCACACAACATATATTTAGCTCATAGGTAAAAGTAACTAGATGAATTTTCATTAAGTAATCCCCCACTTACAAAGAGATGTAGCTAAAAGCGAGAAACAATTGATAAAACAATAGCAAACAAAGCACTAATTTGAATAAGGTATTTGCATACTATAGCCTTGGATATGCTCTGAAGGCTGCTGTAAGCTATTAGCTAATTTTAATTAGCAAACTGCAGCATGAAGACTGTATTAAACTCAAAATTTAATGCTAAGGTTCACACTAGGTGAACTGCAAGGATTAAGTACCCAAAACAAATTAATTGCACATATATTACATATTTTTTGAGAAGCAAGCTGCATGGATTGCCCCCACAATTTTGAATCTTGGTTTTTGAGACACGTGTAGATGAACTGAACTGCGGGGATAGCTTTGTCCCGAACATGCTGCAACATTTTCCCCTTCTTTAAGTTGTCCAACTCTTGTAGAACGACCCAGGGAATTATTAATGCAAGTCTGCCAACCCCTATAAGGAAAAAAAAAAACAAACCACAACCAGAAAACAAAGACATTTTGAAGAGCCGCGCAAAGTACTACAGTTAACTTTTAATTCAAACATCATATTTATGTAAGTTCACACTTATCTCTTTTACCAGTAGTTTTCATATTCCGTGTTCAAGAGTATCTAGCATTAAAAAATGAACAACTGAAAAAGGCCAAGTTCCCTCTTTCTAATCTAACCTCAAACTGGCACTACGTTGGTCACAAGTAAAAATCAGGCAAACAAAAGGAATAAACAATTTTAATCTTTTAATTAGACAATTTTAAAATACTTTGACAACAGTGTGTAGTGATGTTGTAAAATACATTTGCAGCAATTAACATCCTATCACATACTCACTGTAAAATGTTAAAGCAAGGTGACAGCAGCTGAAAGAACAGGCTGAAAATACCTGAATGACCACCACAGTCACTGTGCAAAAACAATCGTCAAATAAAAGGAGCAATGGTTTGTGCTAATTGCCAGCCAGCATTCCTAAGCAAGGAACAGGAAGTATGGATATTGGACCATGGTTTTATTTGTATGTAAGTATGGTCTGAACTTTAAAACTATTAAATATGAAATACATGGTAAATCAGAAATTTAATGACTGTTCCCACCCACAACAAATACTTCAACTGTTTTCTTTCCCATTCACATTATAAGAACACAATTTTGAAAAAATACATTAATATCCATCTGCTTTGTAATAAACAGGTTAGTAATCAGCAGCCTTCTGAACCTTTTGCATAATGGGTCTGGTGCAGGACCAGAAATTGGGAGCTGCAATATTCTAAAAAAGGCATTCCAGTGTACACAATGCAACACCATTCCTAATATGGGAAAGAGAAATACAGTCTGACACACTCTTGAAAATTGCTCAGGCCCTTATTAAAGTTATTTTCCAGGTGGCTGGAATAAGTGTATTCATTAGCTGAAAGCAAAGCACCCTAAGTATTCTGATAGATTCCAAATATGTCTACCAACAACTGACACGCACAATCCTAATCCTGCTAACATTAAATCACTAAAAGCTTCACAACATATTAAAGCCAAACATTAAAGCCAAGGTCTGCAATCTGAATTCCTGAGAAATTGCTCACACCTCATGAATTCTGTGACCTTTACCAAGACAGAAACAAAGCACTGACTGACTACTTATCAGATTGTAAATGTTTTTAGATTTCTAGAAAACAAAAACTGCTAAAAAGAGAGTAGAAAACATCATTACCACTAGTAATGGATTAAATGCTTAAAAGTATGTTCTTACAATAGGTAATTTACCTCTAAGAATTCATGCACGTTCCTGGGAATGTCGACCATGATTCTCTATAGGTATGTAGGAATAAGCATAGTAGATTCTACTTTCATAGCTGAACTTTCCTTAAGAGGCAGACTATTTGGGTTCATAGAACCAGCCTCTTAAGTGTGAGCCTTTTGCCTCTATATGAAACCTGCTGCCTTTTTAAGGAGCCCAGGTTTGTTTTTCTTCACGTAGCCTGAAGTTCTTACAACATCTGTTTTTTCTTAAAATGTCTTATTGATCATCGTGTATTCACATACCTGGTATATCCTCAGATTTCAGGGATCTGACAAACTCAAGGTGACTAATCATTATATTTGTGTCAATCACCACTAATATGTTCAGACCAGAAGTAAAAGCCTCTGGGGGAAAAAAGAGAAGAAAAAAAAAACAAAAAAAAACCAAACAGTAAATCAGTTGTGTACTCTCTACTCAGACCATTAACCGACTGTAATAACTAGTTGCAAGTAGATACCAAAGAACATCAAATCATGACATACCAGCAGAAATATTCAAATCCTGTTCTGGAAGATCTATTTCCATACTTGTAAGTTCTCCACAAGTCTGTACTACAGACAGCGCCATCCTCTTTTCAACACGAGCAACATGCAAATCTTCAACTATCTGCATCTACAATGAAAAAAATGTGCATGTATGAAATCAATTGTAAGCAATCACTTATGAATTGTTCCCAAAAAAGATACTTTTGCATTAACGCTGTTGTGTTAAAACTGACTAAAAACAAAGCATGAAAAATTTTAAGTTGGTACAGCAAATGTAAAGCCATGAGAACCTTCTGCACATCCTCTACTATAAGAAGTCCACAAAAGACGTCCAAAATACAGCCCAGAAAGAAGATTTGTTTTATGACCTTTCTAGCTGGTACCCAAAAACTTTGTTCCATTTTTCACTACATAGACTGTACATTTCCTGACAGGTGTTTCTTAAAAAAAAAAAAGTTTCTTTTCCAACTTGAAAGTTAGAGGATGGAAAATGAGATAGCTAGAGTATGTAAGCAACTATGAAGGCCCCCTACATTGCAGAGAATAACAGAAAGGCAATCTTTCTATCTCAGAAAGTTCCTGATTAGCAGTCCTTCAGCAAGTTTGTTTAGATTTGAAAAAAATGCTCCACATTTTTTGAAGTGTAGATCATAAGCCAAGAATGCAAAATACTAGGAACGGTCATGGAATTGTCCAGCTACACAACCTCAGTGCCATGAGTTTTTCATACATCTGAGAAATGTTAAATTAAAGCATTACTAACCTCTTGGTCTGTTTCTGGGTTCTGACTGTCTTGAAGGGGTGGAAAGACTTCAAAGCTCTGTAGGAAGAATTAAGAAAAATGATACCAACAACATAAAATATCAAGGAAGACTGAGGAACACGTGATCCCCATGTCAAGAATTTCGGAATATAGCTCTCTAGTGTTAAACAAGTACATCACTAACCTTTTGGACAGACTTTATGCCCTCACCTTCTTGGTAGGAGTCAGATGTGCATGGGACCTCAAAATTCTAGAAAGAAGTAGGAACGGAAGTAGAACATGCATCAGTCTTTTAGAGAACATTGAATATTCCCAAGTGAATTGAATAGGTAACATAAAACATATTTTCGATATCAATGATGAAGCATCTACAGTATCATTTCAAAAGGGCTTAGAAGGATGGCTTTCTTTTAAAATAAATATAGTGGTTTACACAGTAAGCCTATTTTTCCAATCTCTTACGGGTTTGTGACTATGTTATTCTTGCTCTGGGCTTCCCAGTTCAAGACAGACATGAATTTGATGGAGTGAATTGAGCAAATGGTCACTAAGCTGATTAAAGGACTGGGGCATGTCATACAACAGGCTGAAAGAGCTGGGTCTGTTTGGCCTGGAGAAGAAAAGGGGGAATCTTATCAATGTTTATAAATATCTGATGAGAGGGTGTAAAGAAGATGGAACCAGACTCTTTGCAGTGCCCAGTGCCAGGACAAGAGGCAATGGGCACAAACTGAAACACAGCAAATTCCATCTGAACATAAAAATCCCCCACTTTTTTACAGTGAAGGTGCTTAACAGGCTGCCCAGAGAGGTTGTGGAGTCTCCATCCTTAGAGGTATTCAAAACCTGACTGGACACAGTCCTGGGCAGCCTGCTCTAGCTGACCCTGCTTGAGCAAGGGGGCTGGACTAGATGATCTCTAGAGGTGCCTTCCAACCTCAATGATTCTTTGGTTCTGTATGTAATTACTATCTTTGCGTACTCACAAAATGATCGTGCTACCGTAACATGAACTGAAATCATGTTGCTAGGCATGTTAACGAGAACATCAACAAAGAAGTAACCACGCTGAAGATAAGCTGAGGCACAGAGCCAAACACAAGCTAGAATTTAGAAAAAACCGATCACAGCCAATGTGAAGTTCTGCAGGAAACGTACAAATTTAGTCCTAGATCTACAACAAGTTCTCCTGGCGTCGCTTTGCCAGCAACAAGCAACCTGTTTTGGCAGGCAAGTTTTCATTGGTTCAGTTTATTCATTCAAAAATGATAGAACCACGTCAGCTCAAAAAAACCTTCTGTTGACTTACCTAAATGGAAGTATTCCACACCCCCAGCAGCAAAGTAAAGCTATGAAAGCATATGTGCAGACACGGTCCTGATACGCAAGACCTTTATTCTTCTAGTTTGTTTAACCATTTAGCAGAGCAGAGAAACATTTTAACATGGTTTACATTGGGATCAGAAAAATCCATCTAGTTAGCTGTGAAATCCTATTTGAAATCTGTAAGAAGATAGTCTGCTTATATAAAAACTGCCTGCCATTCAGAAACTAGCCCGAAACATCTACCTGCATAATACAAAGAACTGGGTTCTCATTACCTGCTTAAAACATAATGCTGTGGCTTCAAAGTCCCTTTCTTCAGCCCCTGAATTACCAGTAGCTTTATCAGAATCAGCATCCTTTTTTTTCCGTTTACAAGAGTCCCATTGTTGTGGTGTTTCAGTTAAATAGTGTGATGGTGTATGTTTATTCACATGCCTTTTTTTCTTAGAAAACTCCTTATATTCTTCTTCATACTCTTCTTCCCAAGTCCTAGATAACGTATTTGTCTTCTTAGTGAAAGGTCTATCATCATGCACAGTCCCTGTAGAGGTATCAGATGGCTTTTTTGGAATTCTGACATCTTCACTCCGTTTTTTTGATCCATCTGCCTTTTTATGTGGTACATGTGAATCGCACGCAGATGACATAAATTTTTCCAACATGGTTTGTTCCGCTTTTAACTTTAGTTTGCAGAGTTCAACTTTCTCTGTCTTTTTCTTCAGTGCCTTCTCCCTCTGAACTGCAAAGCTGTGCCAGAGTCTTCTTCCTTCTGTTCCATCAAAACAACTTTTGTTATAACTTTCCCTGCTAGTAGTCACTACATCAGGAGTGCGTGTACTTTTTCCATGTTTAATTTCTTTGGCTTTAAATTGGATAACTATTCTTTTTTGCTTTTCAGTTTGGATTAAAGAATTGTCTGTGGTTTTGCTTCTATTTGGAGATTTTCCTTGGGATCTTCCATCAGCGCCATGAGAAATATTAGAACTTCGGTCTCGCTTCTTCTCTTGCCCACCTTTCTCTATTTTGAATCTATAGAAACATTATGAAAAAAGTAATGTAATGTAATCTAGCTCAGTTAACATAAAAGAACAACAACAAAAAAAAGCCTGCACTTGATTTAAGCAGTTACAGATAAGTATTTATGAGTACCAGTTTGGTATGTTCTTAAATATGAACTTGCAGCAACATCCATCTTTTAAAATAGTTTGATACAGCATTTTTAGTATTCACATTTTTCCTAGCTGTACAGCTATTTTAGCTTACAAAATTGAGAAAAAGCTTTTTCTGTATTCACTATCTATTGGTTTGAGAGATGCCCTACAAAGTCGAGTTTCATCTTATCACACAGATAAGTTTTAACAGCAGTTTAACGATATATGAGTTGTGCCACCCTAAAATTTGAGCGTGCAGCAATTCACCTTGGTCGCACAGTGCCAAACACCGCACAGCTTTCAAACAGTGCAAGATAACCAGACTGGAGAACTTGGAAAACGAATGATTGATGGGAATATAGTAACATTCTACAGAAATCATGAATGATATGAAAACCGAATAGGAAACTTTCTTATAAGAGCAGAGAAAATACTCAAGACATTTATCATACGCTATGTTTAAAATAGCCAAAGAAAGTTTCTACCCTACTCTATAATAGTGTTGTCAAAAATGTTGGGGAGGTAAAGGCCATTTGACAAACTCATGTAGGACAGGTAACTTAAATGCACTGATTGGCATCCAACTTCTGACTTAGGAGACCGCTAACTGGTTCTTAGAAGCTGGAAGGGTGTACAACAGGAAAAATCATTTTGTACTTATCTTGTTTCACATATTCCTTCCTATGCAAGCCCCTACTGGCCACTGTCAGGGATGGGGTACTGGACTGGACAGAGTTTTGGCATGAACATAGTTACTGTTTTACGGTTATATCATACTGTACTAACAGTGCTTAACAGCATGTATACATGCAGCTAAATATCCTATGACTTACAACTCCAGTCTAAGAGAAAAACTGCAACAAGATTTTGCCATGATTAAGAAACAGCCCAAAGCTTTTCCATCTCAGGATTCATGAGAACATTCTCACTTTATATGAAGTAGTTTTCAAACACTGTTTACATTTGCTACGCTCAAGGTGAAAGATTGCTTTCTTTGCCTTGAAATCAATTACTTCAAACATCAGGAGAAATCAATGATTTCAGGACTACAGGAATCTATTAAGGGTACTAAGTTCACTGCAGAACTAACCTCCAGACTTCACTGGAGCCTTCTTTTGCTAACAAAACGTGTAATATGCAATACAGCCCGACAAGGTAGCGCTCAAGACAAAAAAAAATTGATCTTTTTATGACAGCAGTGTTGGAAGGATATAATTCCTACCTTATTTGAAGTGTAGTAGCATACATTAGAGTTAAAAAAAAATTCTGAATCCTGTCTTCTCAACTATCTCAAACAACCCAACGTAGACAGAATGCCAACACTTCATTAGTTAAAATACCATATTTTATTTCATGAACAAGTCAAACAAAATTCTTAAGTTCAGTATTAAAAAAAGTCTGTGATTGTTTTATTTTTAAGTAGTTCCATTTAATGACAGAGCAAGAATTTACCTCTGAAATTCTGTCTCTCCTTTCATAGTATGGTTATAAGATCTTGTGTCTTCAGAGTTCTGAAAGAAGGAAAAAAATCCAAGGGCTTATAGAGGAAACTGCAGTTAAAAAAAACCTTCATAAGATGGAACAAGCTATTATTTCATACTAGATTCACTATGATTTTGAATAAGTTAACCTTAAAAAAAGGCAGCCACATACCTTGCTATAATTTAGTGTTTAGATTTTGTTATATTTAAGGACAACACAAGGGGAAAGAAAAACTGGATGTGGCACACAGTCCTGGGTTATAAATAGAGAAAGCTCAACTAATTAAACACATTTAGGATTCACGTGTTTCATATACTCTACAAGTATATCAGTATGTAAAATACATATTTTTGTATATTCATAAAAATTCTTAGGGAAAAGAAAGTTACCTGAAGACTGCTTCCAACTACCCCCTAGGTAAGGCCAAAGAGAGGATATTTCTATGGGAGGTTTTTGTGCAGAAGAGGTGTTACTAATTCTCATCAGATTTACTAATTAGGTGGAACAGTGTGAAACTGCAGTGACATAGGCCTGGTTAAGAGCATAGATAGTCCCCAAACAAAGGACTTGAACAGTCCTTGTTTAGAAAGCAGTTATATCACTGCTTGGCATATATATATTGCAAGCTGCGTTGCATTTGTTGCGGAATAACTAGAAGGCGACTTTGATCGGGTCAGAACAGAAAGCAGTTTATTATTGCAGCTATCAGAGAGAACAGAGAGCAGCAAAATGACAGACTCTGCTGATAACAAACTCTGCTCAACAAGGCATTTAGTTTTTATATATCTTTGGGTTACATGACTTGGTTTTCCCAAAACTACAGCAAGATGTAGGAAATTACAACAGAGAATGGTAACATATGGATTACTTCAGACAAAGAAGCTCCAGACAGTACATCATTTTACAAATAATTCACTCCTTCAATAACTGGGTCTTGCTGACTCCATGAGGCCATTAGGTCACTGCCACAGAGGTTTTCCTAACTAGAGAGGCCTGCAAAAGCCTATGAGGCTTTTTACTTCCTTTACTTTTATGAGCTATTTTACTTCCACATTAGAAAGCGCTTCATTAAAAAATAAAAGGGTCGCAGAAGCCAGTGGAGTCCCAATGAATTAAGGAAGCTTTAAATCTCACACACCTGTATCACACATGATACACTTTGGCACACACACTCATGCTGTTGAAGATGTGGGTGCTCCAGTCATGTGTGCAGCCATACCACTTCCCACAATCTGCTAATTCACATGCTGGTGAGAGAGGCCCCCCATGAGGTCACGTACACACACCCAAGGTGTGGGACCCTATGGATGGCCCCCCTGTACTGTCACTCCACCAGCTGGAATGCAGGCTACTGACAGTGTCCGGCAGTGAAGGTGCTCCACAAGGGTAGGTGGAGGTCGCGATGCTGGTGGGACAACCTCTGGCAGTATCAAGCCCAGTTTGACTGCTGCTTAGTTACCGCTTTCTCTCTTCAAGGCCTATTCCCCTAGAACCATGAGTTTTCATGATGTTTTTAGTATTTCTTTTCAACCTAGCTCCTTCTTTTCTCAAAAGTCTCTTGATAATTCCATGATTTTCACTTAATTTGGTCATCTTAAGCAATGTTTCTTTACTGTTACTTTCCTCTTAGCATTATCAGTTTGGGGTGTCTTCTCAGAACAGACTGGTTTAGGTGTTCTGCTTACAGTCACATGGCTATCCTGTGATAGCCTGGTGTTACCCAGGCCATGTTACCAAGAAGCAGCTGTGCTGACTCCTAGCTCTGTGTAAAGCTGTTCTAATTTATACTGTGACAAATGTCCTTTCACTCATACTTACAGAATCATATGCCAAATTGCTAAAAGCCAACAGGCATAAAGTTTTCTGTAATCTGTGGTCATGCTTACACCACACAAAAAAACCCAAAGCCCCCACACAATCATGCCTAAATATGATTCTACTTAAATGGCTTACTCTCATCTGCATGAACTGAAGATACCTCTTATCTATACTGCGCTCACACTGAGGAAACACTTGCTACTATTCAGAGGTTTCCTTATCTTTTTGCTACTAATATTTTGGGTTGTCACTGTTGTTTACACTGGTCAATGTCTGCATATAGTAATATTTAATGCTGTCTCCAACAGATTGAGGTCATGTAACAGTTAAAACTCTGTATTGTTCAAATTGGTATAGGCATTAGCAATGCCAATACAGCTATAGTTTGAGGTTTTAAGCCAAGTTTTTGCCCTTTGTATTATAGAAGAAAAAAAAAAAGCCTTAGAATAAGTTAATGTTAAAAGACAACTTGAATAACAATAAGGAATTCAGGAGGAAAAAAGTTACAAATATTTGGCTTTGAACTACATTTACTACACAAGCAAAAGGTTTCTAACAGGTATAACTCAGTTTATAAGGCCATAATATCACGCTCATTTATAAATACTTCCAAACATTTTTTGAGACATTTATGACAAGACAGTTAAAAGCTCTCTTATTTTATGTATACTTTACAAAATCCAAGGGAAAAAAAATCTAGCAAACTTAAGTATGGATTTATTAAACTACTGATTTATTGGATGTGTATTACATTACCAGCAGGAAATAACTTCTTAGAAGGGTATACGAACAATGAAAGAATGGGAACATTCTACATACAAGCATGACAAGAAAGATTATCACCCCTGTAGCACCTGCATTTTACAAGTGATTCAGTGGAAGCTTACTCACTAGATACAAATATGTACCAGAGTATACTAAGAATCTACATCTGATTTTGGTCATTGATTTATGTCTCAGTAGTTAAGAGGAAATATTTCAGAGCTGCTTGCTAAAACACTGCAAAGTACAATTTGTGATTAATCAGAAAATTAAGATATATGATCCAAGATAAAGAACAATCCAGGAAACAGTACTGGTTTTGGTAATAGTTTTAAGCTCAACTTTCCTCAACCAGGAAGATATGACTGCTAAATAATTCATGCTCTTCTCTTGAATGTGGGGGTTTGAATTAAAATACTGATAATAGCAATAATACAGCTGTTCCTACTTTGTCATCCTGGCCATCCAAACAGTCTTCCTTTCCAGTTAATTTCTTCGGTTTCTTTTTAGACATCTTCAAATCCTAAGAAAAACAGTGTTGTCATTATTATTTATTTCAAGTTTTTATTTCCAGCTGGTATAAAAAAAAAATTTAACTACACAGAGAAAAAATACTCTAATACTCTTTTGTTTTCTCATTACAGAACCACGGCAGATTTCAACAGGGTTAATTATTCACATCTCACTACTAAGAGAACTTCACAGAAAAATGATGGCAATTACTTTACCATCTGCTCCAGAGACACGTATTTTGTACCAGCAAACATACCAGACTAATAGAGACAAACATCCTTTAACATTTAGTCATACAACCATCAAGTTTTAAAGCAGTTACAACTATGTAACTCTCGCCTTAGTCCCCCCCTTCCCCTGAGGTGGAGGTAATACCGTGACAACTCGCAACAGCTACACCACCCTCTACACAAACTAGTCCTGCGAGCCTGCCGCGAACAAGGAGAGGCTTAAGAGGGGCGTAAGAAAGCTTCACCAGAAGCTCCCAAAGCTCTCGAGGTGAATTTCCAGAGTACGGGTCAACTGCCTAAACAGATAAGCGACCGAAGTAGCTCGGCCATAAAGCAGGGAAGGCTAAGTAAACACACGGCTCTTTAAGACAGCCTTCAACAGAGGCGGGTTGAAGTGACTGCAGGAAGAGCTGCTCCTCCTCCAGGAGCACAGGGGGAAGCAGCCTCCTGCCCGCAACCCCACGCGTGAAGAAAACGCAAATACAGGGTGAGCCTCCGGGGCCCGTCAGAGCACAAGACGGACGGA